GAGAGGTTTCAAGCTGGCAAGGACCTATGCGGGTGCATCTGTGCGCGTGTGTGTCACAGCTAGGGATGCTATCCAAGTGGTGAGGGTCGTGTCGGGCCCTTTTGGCAGCTGTTTTGTCCCACAGCCGTATAATTATTGCATTCGCATGCAAGGATTCAGTTTGGTCGTTTTGGCTGTCGCTCCAAGAAGCGGGTGCCTACTTGAAGTATCTTACTAGCTCTTGGATAAACCGACTGAACAAACATCCTTTGGTGAAGGTCCTTTTCTGTGGATGCCATTTCTGGGCCAACCTGTCAAATGTGTGGCAGCGTGCATTTCACCACGACTTACATTTGTGGAATTGGAATTGGGCTTCTGGTTGGCATTCAGGCTGGATGCCACGCCAAGCCATGCAGGCTTCAAGATATGAACATCCAGCCCAACGCGAAAGGCGGCTTAGCCGGCAACAGTGAACCAGCGGTTTGCGGGCCATGCTACAGGCAAAAGCTTCCAGGAATGATTGTCGCAAGGCACGTGTTTTCGCACTGGCTTGGGTTGCGTTCCAGGAATGTCAGGATGTATGTCCCTGGCGACCCTTCTCGGGTAGGTACTGCAACCTCGGACCTGCGGGGTTCAAAGAGTTCCTGGTGGACCTTTTGCTTTCGATGTTTTGCAATGACTTCGGCTTCCGGCCTGGAAGACCATAGTCGGCAAAGTGGATCGCCTCGCACAGTTTTTGTGTTCGGCGCCTGGAATCGGGTGCTTTGGGTTGGAGGTGTGGGGCCCTACCCTGAGGTCCCAACAAATGGAACCCCGCTTTGGGAAAGGCAAGCCAACCAATGCCACAGGGCCAGTTCAGGACACTCCGGGCCGGATGTGCATTCAGTTCGCCAAGCCCAATGGCCCAGGCATCGTCAAAGTGGCCGCAGCCCAAGAGAGAGGGGTGCCGCAGCCTGTGCTTTGCATCATTCAGCTGCCCATCGTTATGCAAGGGTGGTATTTGCGTGGTAGCTCCCAGAAAAAGCCCACAGAAAAGAGTTTGCCGTGGAACGCAGCTGAATCCGCACTCGGAACCCGAACCCTCGAAGAGTTGAGAATGCGGTCGATCCCCGCGGCGGATTTTTTGCTCCGAGGCAGATGCCGCGTCCAAGGCTGGAGACCTGGAGCGCTGCCAGTTCTGGTTCCAGGCGCTTCGCGAAAACGCTTCGCCCGCCGGGCCGGTTGGGGGGGGGAGCTTCCAGGCGTCCTTCGGCTTTGAAGCACCAGCCATCCCTCCCATTTCGGATTGTTTTTTTTTCCCCCCCCCCTTTTTTTTCCGGGAAACAAGGAAAATAGCACAAAATGGGGAGGGGGGGGTGGTCCCCTACGTCGAGACAAACCCTATACAGGTTGGGCAGGGCAACGCCTTGCGCGCTAGGAGTGCGACCGCATGGGCTTCCCGGAGGAGCAGTGACCTGGCCGATAGCGATCTCGCTGAGCGAGCTCGCACCGCTGAAAATTCCGTACTTCAGATTTTACTTGGTGCTCAGTAGGCACTGGAATGAACCCAGGCTTTGTTCCCTTTAAAGAAAACCACAAAAATAGTTGATAAGGGCACCAGCAAGTTTAAGGATTTTTTGCGTAGAACTGGTGAATTTTCCTGGCTGACTGCTGAAGATTCATCCCATGTTCCAGGAAAGCCGGGGGAACGTTCCAATCGGATTCCGTTCGAAAGGTCGCTACACAAACCAGCCCCATTTCGGTTCAGTTGCCTGTGATGTGTGCTTGTCAGCGTCAATTTTCCGTGACCCGTGTGTCCCTTGATGGTAGTCTGGTGTTAAGCGAGGGCCAACCAAGATGCCACAAGTCTCATGTTTTTCATGCCGCCCTCATGTTTCGAGCACCCCCGAACCACTTTTCGCAGCCGCTTCATGGCACATGAAGCCATTTCCGAAAGGTCAGTATATGCCCCCTTTCTCTCTGGGGCAGCGGTTTTGGCAGGGTCGCTGAAAGGCTGCATGTTGAAACAGCATCCAAGCACCAGTGAGCCAGCTGTTTGGCAGAAGGTTCTAGCTGCACCGGGCGATGGTTCGTCGCATCCGCGTCCTTTGGCGCCGCAGGTGGCTGCCCTACCTGGGCATCACTTTGAACGCCGCCGGCCCGGCAGAGCAGCTGCAACTGCGGGAGATGCTGCAAGCCAGGGGTCTGCAGCGCCTTGGCCTGCGCGACCAGCAGGATTTTATTTAGCAGGCCCCAACCCTTAAGTATTCAGATGTGGTTTTGGTTTGGTGGCTGGGGCCAAGACACAAGATGTGTTTTGCCAAACATGAACATGTGATCCACTAGGTGAAAAGCACTAGCAGGTAGGTCATGCTTATTTGCTAGACACCGTACTTATTTACAACCCGGATTGGTGGGGAAACCGAACGAACACATATAATATATTGAAGGGCGCCCTGTTTTTTGCAATCCGCTTGGTGCCGTCCTGAATTGAACAATTTGTCGGACACAAACGTCAAGTTGAGAGGGACACCCTTCCACATTTATCAACCAAGCAGGTATTAATATGGTGCTAGTTTGACCCTGGTATTTTAGTGGTTCGGCAGATATCCAAATACTGACTGTTGATATTTTGTGTCGCGTGTGACTTGTTGCCATAAGGTCTCCCATTCGAAAGCCCTTGTGCAGGTGGATCTTCCCAGTGTTTCCCGGAAGCCAGGCAAGGGGGTAATCAGCTGGGCTATGCCATCAATTCCCCTGAGGCGTCTTCAGAAGTCTAGCCTTTTGGGGTGAAGATCCCCCTTTTTGGCTTCCATGTCTTGGGTTTGGATTGGCTGCATTGCTCCAATCCCCCCGAATTCATGTCTGGAAGGAATGTACCCCGGCGTGGACCCTTCCCCATACATCTTCCCTTTGTAGGGGGTATGCTGTATGCTCCCTCGTCCTACTCGATATGCTGTAGATGGACGACATCCTGCACCACCTAAGACGGAATGATGATTCCCCTGCAAATACCAACAAGTGGCTTCCCATGGTGTCAAACTGGCGCAAGATGTTCCCCTGTTTATTGATACGGGGGTGGGGGCCCCTCCAAAAGTGGTCTGAATCCCCACTAAAACCAGGGACACACCCATATTAATAAACAGGGGTTTCTGAATCCGGGGTGAGCATTGCTGTGGATGTGTCTGAGGCTCACCGGTCGAGACTACACGCGCATGATCACGGCCCTGGCGCAGACCGGGGACACCGACGGCGCGGAGGAGGTGCTCAACGAGATGCAGCGGGCGCGGCTGCCGCGCGGACGCACGGAGCCTGGGAAGTGAGGTGGAAATGGCGTCGTTGCTGTTACTTTTGGCTTCACTATCGGTTTGAAGCAAATCGATTTGTCCCCTTTTGAATGACACACTTCCATTTGCTTACTTTTGTTTCCCCCCTGTTGGTTTTAAAGGGAATCTATCACTACTGGAAATATGTCTTTTATTTTTCCCAGGGGACTTGAGCAAATGGAGGGTCCGGTGCTGCGGTGGGGAATTTGCCACAAGGGGCCATGGGGCGTAAGCTATTTTGGGGTGGATGAACATCCATTTGCCACCTATTTTGATGTTCACCAGGGATGCAGGGTTTTGACCCACAGCCAAGGGAGCCCAAGAAACAAACAGCAAGTGACTGCTTAGAGGACCAACCAACAGAAGCAGGTGCATTAAAAACATCTAGTTGCTGGATGTCTTTGCGTGCATTCTTTGGAGCATTGCATGAGTCCTTGGCTGCTGCATGATTTGTGTTGGTTTTTAGGAACTTGTTAGCCTGCGCACTGGAAATCAATTACGAAAACCACGATGGACATGTTTCACACCAGACTTGTTCAATGGCCCAAAGTTGAACATCAGGCCCCTTCACCAGCTGAGAATCCCATTTCTTGTAAAACATGTGATTTTGGGATGTATCCTACCATTCCCTCGTTCCCTACCTATCGCACCAGCAAGTCTGTTGGTCGGTCCCGCAGGTGTTGGTCTCCCATGGGTCTGAGGTCTCCGTACCTCCCGGCCTACACCTCAGTGCTGGAGGCCTATGCCAAGCTTGGCGACCTGCCTGGCGCGGAGCGCGCCTTCCGAGGCTGGGGCGGAGGGGGGGGGGGGCGGGTTTTTCCGAGCCATTTCCTTTTTGGGAGCCTGAGGTGGCGACCGTTTTCACGGGAATTGCAGCATTTGAAGGGGAAATCGAAAGATTTGTTGGTTTAGGGATGCGGTGGGGTTTGGGTGCAGCACGGTGTGGAACTCGCCGGGAGGTTCAATTGACGCTGGCCTGACGCCTGACGTGGTCGCTTATGGGGCTGTCATGAGTGCATGCGCACCTTGGAGCACAGGGATGGGGCGTTTGCTGCATGATCTTGACTAGGTTCCCCACTAGTGCCCTTTTACCATGTCTTTTTTGGTTGGGAGGGTTCTCCTACTAAGAAAGACTACAGAAAAAGGGTACCCTTATTCTAAGCTCTCTACTGGAGGACCTAGTTGATACAAAGGTCACGTCACCGAGCTTCCAGCTGAGGCCCGGGCTCGCGAGAGCAGTCGCGCTGCACCTTGGCCGACTGAGGGGGCGAGGGGGCGAGGCGCATGTCCCAACCGCATCCCTTGGAGCGGGGGTTTGGTCTATTGTCGGTTCCCTGGCTGGTGCAAGATGCAAAGCAATGTAATGGATGAAGCAAAAGTCCGGTTGGCTCACTTGCCACTGCCACTGCGTCACGATGCCACTGAACAGCAAGTCAAAGACTTTGCTTGAGAAAGCGAATCGTGCAGTTCCGACTCTGCTTGTTTTGAGTATCGGCATCATCCCAACAACAGAAACAGTCATACGCGAATGCTTGATTCCACTGGGAAGTCATGGCAGCAACCTTGGGCCTTGGGCCTTGGACATGTACGTGAGCCCTTGAAGCATGGCACTTCGGAAGCCCAAGTCGCAGGTCGACTGGATGGAAGAGGCGAGTGCGGCTGGTTTGACACCCAATCTGATCATGCACCTCGTCTGCCAGAATGTTTCTCAAAGTTGGAGTGGTGGTTTGATTCCCTTCAAAGCCATCCTGTAAAGGATTCTCTCTTTCGACGCACGCCCAAAGAGAGAGGGCTTCCCCTAATGGTTGATCCGGGCTCGTGCGGTTTGGGCCACCCAGAAAAATGAAAGGCTCTTCCAGCCGTGGTCGCTTCGTGAGTTGGAGAACTTGACCCATTTCATCCAAATCCTGGAGGACAAAGCGGTGAGTCACTCATGGTGCAGCTTGGCTTTCTGAAGTTGGCAAATATGTTCTACAGATACATGTGGCTTCTGTCGGTTGCTTTGCCGCAGCCGGCGCTGCGTGGTTTGTGGGCTCGCACACGTTGGCCTCTTTCGGTTGCACCATGAGCGGCAACACTTGAAGGGTGGACTCCCCCACCCCTTGAAGCAAAATGGCGTCCCTAGTCGGTAACTTTTGCCATCTTTCACCCCCTCCTTAGGTCCTTAGGCCCAATCACCCAAAGCAAGACAACTTGTTGACCTTGGGCTTTCCAGGTATCCAATCTCGGTTGATCTCGGTTGGCCATTTGTTGTCCTGTTTCTTAGGGGCAACTTTCCCATTTCCTGGGCAAAGAAAGCCACCGCATGGGATTTTTCTCGAGTAAAGTGTGGGGCACTGCCTGAGGTACAACACCGTCTTGGATGCCTTGGTGAAGATGGGCCGCTCGGAGTCCGAGAAGGTGGATTCCCTCGCCCCCCCCCCCCCCCATTTTCCCGGGACAAACCCTCCTAACCCCGAACCTTAATTCTCCTAACCATGAAACACGAATACTCCTAACCCCGAAATGCAATCCATTTGGGGTTCAACCACGAAACGACCTAGAATGAACGTTGGCCAAGTCCAATGGTTGTTCAAGAGACCATGGGTGAAAAGAACGGATGGCACGTTGGACGGGACGTTGATGGCGAGCACACGGACATGTCTGCAGTAAGGGTTTCAGCCTTGCACACTTTAGACCTAAGCCAGATTCGGCTCAGCATGAGCGAAGTGGTTCAAAGGGAAGCCAAAACAAGCGTCACGATTTGGGGGGACGTCCCCCTACTCCAGAATATGCCCGTGCTAAGACCAAGCTGCCCGATTGGAAACGCCCCATTGGTCGCTCACCCATATTGAACGTATTTTCAAGGTGTCAGATGAAGCTAAGTCGTAGCTGGCATTCTGGCTTAAGGATTTAACCCCCACATGTCCTTTGATACCGCACAACCTGCGCCAACCCGTGGTTGAATTCTGACACGTCGTTTGGTTCTAGGATTGCGGGGCATTGACTTCCTGAGCAGTACACGCAGAATCAGAAGGCGTTGGTCCGCACATTTGCTGACAAGCTGCCTTTGCTCATCTCTCAAAGTTGCTTGACCGTTTATTGTGGCTGGTGTGTTTGATTCTTGCTGGACTCGGTTCCTTTAACTATTGGAACTCACACCATGTTGAAACTACTAGTGCCACTCAAGCTTGAGCATGTCCCACCAAGCGGAGCGTAGAGCTTCGTGTGTGTGTGTGTGCGGTGTGACAGAATACCCTGTCACCACTATTAGTAGCAGGGGAGTGCGGCATGACTGAGGGACCGCACTCAACGAAGCTACCTCAGTCATGGGATACCGGATCTGATCAATCCGGCGTACCTGCTTTCCGTGATTCTGAATGTCCTTTTGGCCCCCTTGGTTGCGGCGCTGTTTGTGCTTCTTGTTCTTTCGGGTAACGTGTTCGCTGCTAGAGGGAAGCCGAGTGCATCGCGAGCAGAACCCAGTCGAGACTCATCAGTTGTACTCGAGACTCATCAGTTGTACTCGAAAGATTAGCACCCTCCATCTGGAGTTTAAGTGTGTGTGTGTGTGTGAGTGTGTGTGTGTGTGTGTGTGTGTGTGTGTGTGTGTGTGTGTGTGTGTGTGTGTGTGTGTGTGTGTGTGTGTGTGTGTGTGTGTGTGTGTGTGTGTGTGTGTGTGTGTGTGTGTGTGTGTGTGTGTGTGTGTGTGTGTGTGTGTGTGTGTGTGTGTGTGTGTGTGTGTGTGTGTGTGTGTGTGTGTGTGTGTGTGTGTGTGTGTGTGTGTGTGTGTGTGTGTGTGTGTGTGTGTGTGTGTGTGTGTGTGTGTGTGTGTGTGTGTGTGTGTGTGTCTGTGTGTGTCTGTGTGTGTGTCTGTGTGTGTCTGTGTGTGTGTCTGTGTGTGTCTGTGTGTGTCTGTGTGTGTGTCTGTGTGTGTGTGCATGTGTCCAAGGCCAAGCAGACAAAGCAGAAGGCGGACAAATCGGGGAGACGGAGTCGGTGTGACTTGCGGAAGTTTGCGGGGGGGATAAGTTGTACGAATGTCTTCGGAAGGCCAGCGAACCCAACAAGCCACCAGCTGTGAGCAGGCCGAAGAAAAATCGTTAGTGCCTTTCTGTAGGCCTGTACTCAAAATTGTTGGAATGGCAGGTGTGGGGCAGACGGGAGTTCGAGGGTAAGGCTGTGTCTGTTATCATTCTAAGCCAAATTGGTCGGATTCTTGCCTAACAGGCCCAACCAACAGGCCTCAGCTCATCCATTCTTGGCGGCTTTCTTCCAAAGCTTGGGATCAGAACTGGGACCATTGCAAAAGCCTAGCCCTGAGCTTCCTGGCATTTTTGGCCAACGAACCACTAACCCTTGATGATTGCACGACGCATGTGTCATGGGAGACAACTCCAGGTACACAAGCAAAGAAGGGGATGCTCTTCGAAGGGGAGGGGTGAGTTGAGTCCATTTGGGACGCTCAAGACTGATGCTACCATGACAGCCAGATGTCTTGAGAGCTTCGGTTTCAGAAAGCTTCGGAGAGTGGTTGAACCACTCCGAACACTCAGGCTTAGCTGGAGAAGTGCCATTTGAGTGTGGACATTTCACAGGGAACGCTTGTTGAATGCGAGCTTGTGAGCTGGGTGTAACATGGAAGCTACCAGGAACCGTTTGGAAGACATGGTTCCATTTATTAGCCTGAGGGAGTGTAGCAATCAATTCCTTGGGCTATCTTGGGCTCCTTCCGCTTAACTTGTCAGAGCCCACCTTCCCCAGCGAGCCTTTGCTCTTACTATCGGTTGATTTGGGAAGCGCATAGGTGGGGCCAGGGATAGGCAGAAGCAGCTGTCTGGTCCATGAGTCCAATTCAAGTGGCCAGACTCACTCGGTGTCGCTTTTGGTATTGTTGGTCATTAATTGGGGAAGCGTTAATACATGAAGTCAGCGTTTGTGTCGTGCTAGGTCCGGTCGACATATCCTATAAACGGCCAACTTGAGGAATTTTGGAGGGGGCTTCCCAGAAAAAGTAAATCAAAAGATCACCGAAACAGATCAACGAAAACGATCAACAGCATTTGGTTGGGTTAAACCATCAAACCGTGCGGGATTTTTTTCACATTGTCTGGGGGTCTTCTCGGGCAGGTTTGCTCGAAGAGATGGAGAGGCAGCGTGTGAGCTGCGATGTGGTGAGCTATACCAGCCTCATGTCTGCTGACCCGGCCACTTGCCATTGCGACTCACGTGCGTCTGCCCATGTGAGCGATTGCACCGATTTGGGGGTAAAACAAGCTCACAATGTTCTGTTGGTGAGGTCCTTTCTTTCGGATCGTTTTAGTACACGTTTTGGAAGCATAGACTTTTCAGATCGATTCCCATGTTTCGGCTCGAAGCAGTGGGGCTAGCGCCTGAAGCTCTTTGCATCTTTTGTTGTTGTGACTTTGTGCTGATTTTTTAAAGTTCAAGCTTCAATTCAGGCAGGCTTCTTCCTACGGGAAGGCCAAGGCTTCACCGGTTTTGACTTGCGTGGCTCTGTCTGCGTGCAATTCTGCTTCCCAGCTCCGATGCGTTTCCCAGATGCAAGTTTTTCAAATCCAGCCACGAACGCCACAGAGAACATCGCCTGAGCCGGTTCGCCATTTTTCATAACTCTTCCCCGAGTTCCAGCACTTGAAACTTGGGCGGACCATTTCATCGGCAAATGGACTTCAGGGCTGTTGCCAATCCACTCGGGAAGTCAGTCTAGGCCCCAACTACTAAGCGGGAAGTTTGCTGTGCCAAGGCACGCTCGCAGCGGTTACTGGAGGAGATGCGCGAGAAAGGCAGCGGGGGCAGCGGGTGGGTGGGTGCCCCTTCTTGAGTCCCTCGGCAGCTCGGGGTAAGTTGGAGCCAACTTGCAGGTTGGTGCTGGCATTTCTTTTGTCAACGCACTGGAAGGTTTCTAGAATGGGTGTGAAAGCAAGCACCAACTTGCCAACTTCCATGTTCTTTAGGTGATAATTACGGCTTGTATTTCCTGGTTGGTGTTTGTTTGATGCGTGTTGTCATGGATTAATTGTGTGGTTTTGTTTGGCTTGGCGCGAGTTCAAATCAGCCCATTGGTTGCCCCATACGCGGCGTTGCCACGCATGGCACTTGGCACGATTTTCACTTGTCTCGACTTTGTGAAGTATCTTCAGCTCGTGTTTGCGTTGTTTTCACTCAGAGGTATTGTCTCAAATTCCAAAACCATTCATTTTGGGTCTCTGCTTGGCTTTTGGACCCACTCGCAAGCACGCCATAAGCATGATTGATTAAATCATTATGGTCAAGTCGATTTCGTTGTTGACCGCAGCCCACACGCGAAGCAGGTTGTACCCAAGTGCAGTTGCTTGCCATGTCAAGCCCGTGCTTCTTAGATAAAGTTCAGTGGCCCCCGGCAGATTATGCGGATCAAAAGGCTCTTAGAGGCTTGCCCAGAAATCCTTGGGGAGAGCCAGAAGCTACGTAGGGGTCCTGGCCGATGACGTGTGAGGGATACCTGATTTCCATGCCAGGCCTGTCGCCTGATCAGTGCTCCTACGAAGCCTGGCTGAATGCTGACAAGTCTTCTTCTTCTTTCGGCTGTCCGGTTTGGGCCACAAAGCGGAAGGTGAGGTACCCCCATTCAACATAGGCGATCAGATCCAAACGAGAAACCGCCGAAAAGGGGGCGCTGTCCTTGTAGTTCCCCTTGCCGAAGGTCGAACTTGGTGCTTTCTTCGTCGATGCGCGTAAGAAAAGCCGTGGTAAACCATTCAATGGGAACCCATCGGTCTAGCAGACTGTGGAGTGTTGGATTTTGATGGGGGCCCACTTAGTTTATTGTAGTAACAGACCTATATAGAGATATATGTGCAGATATTACATCGAACCTCAGCCCCTCAGAACGTCTCCTCCGAATCGCTTGAAAGCCTTGTGCAATCTTGGCGAGCGGTGAAGCCAGCTTCACGTTCTAGATTCGGATTTTCAGGTAACTCAACAAACGTAAAAAGAGTCTCTTGGCCTAGTTGGCTGAGGTTAGTCGCTTTGGGGCCAAAATCCCTGCCCAAGCCACCAACTAGGAATGACTATGGACTGCGGGGGGGGGAGAGGGGGGAATGTCAAAAGGATAATTCCAAATTCAAAATTCGCGTAGTTCGCAAGGTTACCTTTGGCTTCTGACCAGGTCACAGGAGCCTGGAGAGGTTTCCGCAAAAGGCCCCTTCAAGAGCAAAGGCCCCTTTCAGGACAAGTTGCCAAAGGACAAGGACGATCCCTTACCTCCAAGCGCCCAGTATATGAATAACAAATCCTATTGTTTCCAGACCGACCCCATGACATCCAGCCGCATGTCATCCAATAGTATCTGCATAGTGTTCCCGTGTTTCCGGGAATTGTTGATGCTGCGAGTACTGGTGTTGCACCTACGTCGGGTCATTGGCTGGTAGTCGCTCATGCCAAAAACTATTCCTTTTTTTTCCGAAGAAAGTAAGTGTGAAGAAAGCGAGAAGTTTTCTTGGCAATAATTTTCGGCACTCATTTCCCGCCTGGCCCCAAGCCAAACTCGGCCAGGCCAAACTCGGCCGTTTTCCTTCTTCGCCCTTCGGCTTCGGCTTAAGTGCGATGATCACCTTTCCCAGCCATAAGTGGCTAACGTCTGCTCTTTGGGCACTCCCGCTTCACGCGACATGGGACGACTTGCCGGTTCTGCGGCACGAGGATTACGAGGCAAGGGTCGCCAAGGTTGGGAATCGGCCGGCTGCGTGGGAATATGCTGGGAAGATGGTTGGGAATATGCGGGGAACCTCGAATACAGAGCATCTTAGATTCAAGCTTGACCAAGTGTTGACGCGAGTCAATACAAAATGTAAAGGGGTGGAAATCCAGGGATTCCAGGGTTTTAGAGACAGAGCGAGTGGCGATGTGGAATTCCCACTCCAAATAAGCACTAGCAACATGTTTATGTTCATTAATATGATTTTACATTTCATTAAATAACTCATTGACGCTGCATAATACACGAACAGTTTATGCATAACGTGTTTCATTGCTTGGGTTTGAAGTTGAAATTGTCCACATCAAACAATATATCCTTGAGGAATTCCTATAGAAGTATGTGTTGAAACCAACCGCATCCAAGCGAGCCTCCGGCTACTGCCGTGTCAAGAAAAACGGTGCAGGGCCTGAGGATCTTCATCTACGATCTGCCCGACATCTTCCACAAAGAGTGGCACTCCTATTTGGAGCTCATGGCTTCCTGGCTGGGTCCCCCCGCTAGGTGCCCTTTCTTACCGTTTTCATTTTTGGGGGAGGGCTCTACTTACATAGACTGCGGAAAAAAGGGTGCCCTTGTTCTATCCTCTCTACTGGGGGACCTAGATGGTTTCAAGACCTGGCCACCCTGAAGGCTATTGGATTGAGCCATGATTTAGCTAAAGTTTAAGCTTCAACCTTTTGCGGGAAATTATGTTTCCACTTTCCCACTTGCCAGCGCTTTGGGCTTCTTTGGTGCCGATTAGATGCTTGTCTGACAGGTCCTTTGGACAGAGGCGACCGTGGTGAATGCAATCCATCAAGCCTTGCAGTCAGCCATTTGCAATGTTTTTTTGTTTTTTTTTTTAATGTGGTTGATATGGTTATTTTCAGATGTCTGATTTGTCTTTGTAGCATTCCTGTAACTCCCAGGGTAGCTGAAAGCCATGGTTCTGAATGGGGCTCTCACTTGCACTTGGATTTGGGGGTGATTGAGTAGGGCGCTGGGTTGCTGTATTATGCAGTTGCTTGGTCATTTCCGGGCCGGGGCTGCAGCTGTTGCCAGGCGGCAAAAGGTGATTTGGTGGGTTCTCAAGCTGAGCGATGCATAGCTGCATCCTGACAACATGTATGAAACAAAGCAACATGGGTGTGTGTGTGTGTGTTTTTTGATGGTACCCGGTTTGGGTGTGGTTTGAAGGGAAACCAACAGGAAAGCCATTTTGGGGGGGCCCTTAAAAAAGACACACCCATATGTGTTTTTTTGGAGCTGGCGGAATTTCTGCGGTGATCCAGCAGCTGTTGGCATCTGGCAAAAGGGAGCCCTATTCGGGGGTTTCTGTCTCCCGACCAGTCTTCATTTGAAAGAAAAACCGGCGCAGTTTTTTTCTGGTGCACTTGACCTATACCAACCAAACGGTTGCAAGAGGGTTTTTCTGTTGCAGGTTTTCCTCTTTGCAAGCCTTGGGACCCTTGGCGGCTATGGCGGCGAATTCTCCTCGCTAGAAGCACTTGACCATGCCCATGCCAGTTGCTTGGAAGAAGCCCCAGGTTGGGATCCATCCTTCTCTGCATTAGGCAAGCTGCCCAGTGAGTTCCAAATGAGTTTTTCATCTTTGCATGGCGGTTTGCCCTGGCCTAACCATGACTAGAGCTTGCGGGATATGGGACATTTGCAGGCTGCATGTTTGGAACGCCCTCCTGAGGCACACAGCGATTTCGTATAGTGTCGGGTGCTAACTGCAGAAACTTAAATAAATAAAGTACTGCCATTCTTCCATTGCTTCCCAAGAAGGGAGGTTCATTTTTGAGATGCCAGTACCTCCGCATTCACCGAGGCCAGGAACGCCGGCAGCAACTGTGACTGGATGCTATCACACTGCACGGAGACCTCCAGTGCCGGAAAGTTCTCCATTTACCGGCAGCTGGGGCAAGAGGCATCGCCGGTTTGGTCAAAAGTTCCACCCAGAGGACCCCTTGGTACCTTGTAGAAAACGGTTCAAGGGAATTCGTCACTTTCAGGTTCCTCATATCCGCATATACGTAAGGTACCAAGGGACGCTTTGGGGTAGTCTTGTCGCGTTTTGCAGTGGCTTTCCCCGAGGTAGCTTGATTCTGACCTGACAGAAAAAGGGTACCCTTATTCTAACCTCTCTACTGGACCTAGACCCTGATTTTGTTTGCAAGCTATGCCCTTGCAATGCTCAAGGGTGTTTAGAAGATCAGCTGGCTTGCAACCCCTTGCTGTGAGAGTGTTCCCCTTCAAACACCGTGAGAAGCTACTGACAAGGGGCTCCGAATGGCTTCGACGTCTAAGTCGCTCAGAAACCACTCTGCCAAAGCTCCTCCCCACTTGGTGCTGGCAACGGCCATCCTTTTGAAAGATGCTGTTGGACAAGCATCTCCTGGTTTTCTACCAAGGGCACTTTTCCTTTGTAATTTCCACTTGCAAGGAAACCTTGGATGTGGTCCGGTAGCTTCCGAGATTCTGGGGTTTCCTGGTTCCCTACCTGCCAGGTGATCATTCTCCGCAAGCTCCTTGCTGGCCCAACCGTACCTCCAGAGGACAGCCCTGACGCGGTAGCCTGACTTGCTTTCCGGCTTCGCAACGGTCTTTTGCTTCTGCCTAAGACATGGCAAGCCCAAATCAAGATAAAGGTGTCCATGTTGAGTGTCTGGCCCCGGTGTACTAGCAACATTTTGTCCAGGAACTCACGTTTTCTCATTCGCTCCCATGCGAATGATGGCTTTTCGTTCGGTTTCCGCATCGCCACGTTGCCATGTTCCCAGTCAGGCTGGTGCTTTATGGGCCTGAGGCTTCGGAGATTCTCAGTGATTATAGGTTCGCAAACAAAAAAGAGAAAGAAACAAAAAAGAAGAATAAACAAAAAGGCATTTGTGCTCCCCTTCCGTGGCCGCCACCAGAATCCTTGAAGAGCGTCACCCGTTAGACATGGCTCAAGGCAAACCAAGGCCCTTCCGCGTCGCAGGAGGCAGACATTTTTGTGGTCCCTGCCTTGATCGGCTCAGCGTGCTTCTCCGGCGGCTTGGATCGAGTCTGCCGGCCCTGCGGCCATGAAGATGTTTTTTGTTTTTGTGTTTGTGTGTTTGCTTGCTGCCTTGCTGGCTGGCTGGCTGGCTGGCTGGCTGGCTGGCTGGCTGGCTTGCTTGCTTGCTTGCTTGCTTGCTCGGCTGGTTGCTGCTTGCTTGGATGCTTGGTTGGTTGGTTGGTTGCTTGCTTGCTTGCTTGCTTTCTTGCTTGCTTAGTTACTTAATTGCTTGGTTGTTTGCTTGCTTGCTTGCTTGCTTGCTCGTGTTTGCCTGCTTGTTTGATTGTTGCTTGGTTTGCTTCGTTTGTTGTCCAGCCAGGCTCCCGCATGGTGGATTTTTGCCTTTTCCGCGACCCCAACAAGCACAACAATGCTTCAGGTCAGCTTTGTAAGCACCACACGGAAGCCGGGAGCACGGTGTCCAGCAATTGGCATCAGTTTAGCTTCTTGGCACCCGTGTCTTGGCCGGACCCTAAGAGTTTTGTTTGCTTCAAATCCCAAGAAAAGCAAACCGTCGGATCGGCAGAGGTTGTGATTTTGTTCTGTCTCCACATGCACCCCTGCCGAGCGGAAACGGAGCAAACCGCATGAAGACGCAAAGAAGCGAAACGTGCTGAAAACACACTGAAACGCAATCGAAACGCGGTGCCACGCAATTATAGTGAAACGTGCCGGGCGGACCCACTAAGGTTCTTTGTTTTTTGTTTTTTTTGTTTTTTTGTTAAAGTCGGCCATCATGACGATGAAGTCTAAGGAACCCCGCCGCTCGAGAAGTGCCCGTGCTGGGCTTCTGTGCACGAAACCAAGTGGGTCAAGTTCACAGCTTCTCGAGCCAAAATGGCCACGGCACCAAAGAGACAATAGAAATAGATATGACTAGCAAACCCAACGCGCCCTTTCAGAACCCGCGACCTGAGCCCAGCAATGATCCTGCGACTGTCCACGTGCCAGCGATTGCCTTTAGGGTTTAGGGTGATAGGTTTTCAAGGGAGTCTGGTGCCCAGGCTTGCTTACTCGAAGTTGACTCTGGACGGCCAGGTGGAAAAATCCATTCTTCTGGAAACAAGGCACTTTCACTTTCCAAATCCTCAGTTTGACATGGCAGACAGCTCCTCCATCTCAGGATGTCGAGATGACCGATGTTTTGGCGGAGGCGACGGCCCCCAAAAAGGAGGCGCCTCCCTCCGAGGCAAAAGCTCCTGGTGTGAAGCCTCCTCCTGCGAAGCTCAGAGCAGCAGAGCCCAAGGAGCCGACGCCGGCGGCAAAACCGCCCTCGGCACCTCCTACCTCTCCACCCGCGACTTCGCCAGGCAAGGCCAAGCCGAAAGGACCTATTGATGTGAGGAATGTCCCCGCAGTCATCACGAGCCATCTGTGGCCAATACCTGCGAGGACAAGTCCTTGCAGTGTGGTGGAGCCCCTTCCGAAGGGGAAACTCAAAATTCCGTGACACCCTCTGGGGTTTGGAGAGCAGGGACAGGTTGCAGATGGCATGACGCCAGCAGAAGCGGCCTTTGCTGCACCACGAAGTGCTAGGAAGTGTGGGAAACTCTTGCTCTACCATAAGGCCCTCTGCGCACCTCTCGACATTGGTTGAAGGAGTGAGGACTGGCTGCAGAGAGTGAGCTCACTCAGCACCTCCCGGAGCACGTTTATGGAGAGCCTGGCTCCGCCTGTGTTGAACCCCACAGTTGGAGAAGATGCTCTTAAAGGTCCTTCAATCCTGCAGCGTCCACCCTGGTTTGTCCCAGCGTGTTACGCTCCTCTTGTCGCGACAGGGCACGCGCAAAGTGGGAGAGCCATGCCCGGTGAAAAGGGTGGCAGAGACAGCCGGACTCAGGGAGTTCTTTCCCTCTACTTCGCACACCGAGCGCGAGCTCTACAAGGATGGGTTGCTTGTCGCTCCTTGCCGGCCTCTTCTTGGAGGTTTGGTGAAGAAGCACCAATTCGTCCTGTCTGCTGGAACGCGCAACCTCGAGGTTCCCGATCAGTCTATCGTTGCGCTGCAGACAGACCTCCTTCGAAAAGGGGGGGAAGGGGGGAAGCTGTGCCGGTCGCACGGGAGGAACTTGGCCCATCCGGTCTGGCTTATCCCTCCCGCTTCGGTATTGGGTGGGAGTGTGGAAGGGTGGCACCTTTGGAGAAGGAGGGGCGGAGTTCTGTGCGAAGAGCTTGAAGTCTTCCCTGCGCATTGGTGTGAAGCAGGTGCATGCTGCTACTTCGTTCCTGCTGGCGAAAGCCAGGGAGCTTCCTGCCTCGGAGTCTCAAAAATGCTATGTGCTTCACTGCGCGAAGGTGTAGCAGACGATGCTCTCGTTTGGCGGCGTCTCTGGCAGGCAGCTATATCAATCAGGATGATGGCTACGCTCCATTCGCGATTTGGAGGATCAATAGACATGCCAATCAAAACAAGCAGTACCGATCCGGTAGTTTTCTTCCGTGCGCGCTGTATCGGCATCTCATTGGGGCCTTCTGCCCACTGGCCAGAGAGGAGACATCCAAACTATTGTTGCAGCAACGGACCTCTTCTTTGCGTCAGAACGTGCCCTGGATCCACAACTGGGAAGCGCACTTGATTCCACGGAAGTCTCCGATATCTTCTTTTCCTCGACAGAGGCGAAGATGATTTTTCTCAAACAATTCTGGATGAGCAACGGAGTGAAGTGGTTGGAGGCCTTGAGACTTGTTGTCTCGTGCAGTGCCAGTGTTCCTGTTGTTCCGCTTCCCTGCGAGTTTGTTCCGTACGAAGACTGTCAGTTCTGCGATTGGGACGGCTGTTGGAAAGCAGGACAAGGGAGGGTGGAAGGGCATTTCTTTGCTCATGTTTGCCTAGACGCCCAGCCGAAGGCTGGTCTCCACCTGCTGTGCGTCTCTGCGAGACACCTCGGTTCTTGCTTTGTTTGGGCGCGGAGGATGCAGGTGGATTCGCTGCCTTGCCGATGGCATGCGCTGGCGGGCTTCCGCTTTGGGGTGCGGAGATGTAGGGATATTTGCGCACTCTCACCGTTTCTTTTTGGCCCTGGCCGTCCTCTTCTTTTGCCGCGCGTGAGCTGGGCTTTCCATGTGAAGGCAAACGCCAGGGTGTTTTTCATGGGCTGGCCAATGGGTTGTTCAGATGCGTTGCAGATTCTACGTCCAACGCGCTTGTCAATGCTTATGCGTACTTTCACCCAGTTTATCTTTGGCCTGCAGGTATCCTGGAAATGAGCGGATGGTGGCACACAGGGGTTGAAACCTTGCCAGATAGATTAACGGGAAAACCCTCTGGGCTGCCAAATAGGTCCATTTTTTCAGGCCTCCCTTGACGTTTTGTTTTCTCCACAACAGTTTTTCCCCCTTCAATGGATGGAAGACATGTTGCCAACGTTTCAAAAAAAACAACCTTCTTCAAACAAAGGCGGTCCACATTCATGAGGCCTCTACAGCAGCCGATGCAGTGGCCCGGCGGACGGCTTCCCAACCGACCTGCACAGTCGGCTGCCGTACTACAACTCGGTCACCAGGCATCGGCATTTGTTCCTGGCCTCTTTGGCAGCTCGGACCCGGTTGGTTCATTAGGACGTCAGGGTTGGCTGTGTGTGAAACAAGTTTCGCACGTGTTTGCCACCGACCCTGATGCCCACGACTCCTTGAAGTTCCATGTGTAGTTTTCTTTCTCTTTCGTAATGCTAGGGAAAAGTGAACTAGCGGGCCTCCGCCCGCTTTGTCTGTGAGAAACCCCTTCATGGCGGCAACTGTTCATTTATTTTCCATGAAGGATGGGAGGACAGGGTCGCAAGGCGCGATAGTGCTTGAGGGGCATGTACAATGCACGACTATATTTGTTGTACGGCTTCCCTGTGCGGAGACCGGTGGTCTACCAATAAATTCCGAGGGGAATCCCGTACATTTGGAGCACGGGGAGTAGATGCGTTGTATACGAATTGATGCCAGGTGACAGAAGCAGTAGAGTATGCAGTATGTTTCCAAGAAGCAATCTCCAGCAACTTTTCTCGCGAAAGCTGGTTTCCTGGTTTCTCGAATTCTCGAAGATGGTTTCTCGAATTGAGTTGTTTGTTTCATGACACCTAGGGCCAAGCCAGGGGGGTCCGCTCCTAGACATGTGTTGACCGGGTTTGCCAAAAACCTCAGACAGCCTACCCCACCCAGAAATTAGGGTATGCCGCAGTCCCTAAAAAATCCCAGGCATGGTCAAACTAGAAGTGCCGGAGAGACCCAAGTGATTCAAGTTCGAACTTCGAACCCCCATGGGTCTGCAGATGGCTCCGCATCTGCGCTTGGAGACTGCCCTAGGGGCTCTCAGATCACCAAGAAGAACCCCAGACAGGCTGCTTGAGAACTTGGCCTTTTTTTGAGATCTGCGATGGCCAAAGGACCCAGATTGTTTGATCCCGCTTCTGGCTGCCGGCCCCACTCCGAGGGTGTCTATCATTTCTTCAGCCAAAAGCCCAGAAAGGAAAGCAGCCCAAATAGCCTGATCCTTGATTGCCGCAGCTGAGAATTGAATTGGGGGGGATTGAACGAACAAATTATGATGTGCAATTCCCATTTGCGTAGGAGCAAGCAACCAACAGATCCCTCTACACAGGTGAAATGCTTTATTCTAGCCCCGTTTGTTCGCTCTACTCTCCCAACCTGAAGCAAGAGGGTAGGATTTCCCCAAATTCACTCTGCTTAGTGCCCCACACAAACGGAAATGTGAATCCAAACTTCACATTCCACAAGTCACTCGTGGGCCAAAGCCCGGCTGAGGACAAGCGAAACCTGCCCTTATCCGTGCAAGCACAGACTCTGCTACACAGCTGCAGCTGTTTTTTGAGGTGGTCGTGGGGATGGCGTGGGTGATCGCTTTGGATTGGGTGCTGGGCTGAATTCTCTGGACTTGAACGATGGCGGATGGATCTTGATCCCAAGTGGCAATCACTCCTAGTGGCCGGGGGCACTGGGCGCGACACAAATGTGTTGACACCCCCCCCCACACCTGCTGGAGGAACTCATCTTCCTTTAGGTGTGTTGTTTGGCTCAGGTTTTCCGACACGGCCATGTTGTATGATAAATCCCTTGGTGCTGTCAAGAGTCTCGCTTCTGGTTTAATGATATTTCTTAACACGCTGAACGACCGTACCCTGTGTTGTAATCAATATCCTCAGACCATTTGGAAAGACATCGTAGGCCCCAACTCCCCCATCGCCCAACCCGACCCAACCAGCTTGGCGCTGCTGTCCCCCTGCTAGTGTTTTGAGTAAAATCTACGGGTTTTGTTTGGCATTTGGATGCTTTTTTTGGTAGGGTACCCCGGAACCCCCTGAAAAGGTGGTGTCCCTTCTGGTTCCCCTTTAAAACCATGAACAGATACCTCCAAAATGTGGTTCTCCTGTTGGTTCCCCTTCAAAATCATAAACAAGTACCTCCAACAGTGTGGTTGTCCGTTTGGTTCCCCTTTTAAAACCTTTCGAAAACGGGGAGCACATCGGGGGCACCTTCCAAAATACCCACGCTAGGCTGGTCTCCATGGGTGCCTCCTATGGCTCGGTGGGGCACTTCGTGGTGCCCTTGGCGGTCACGGACCAGGAGCCGCCGCCCAAGCCGCGGACCACCCTGGTGTATTTGGCCATGGCGCCTGCGCTTGCGCTTGCGCTTGCTGTTTAGCCGCAAACTTCAACAGGGTAGCCACAAGCATCAAGTAAGGGGTACCCGCAAAGATGGTAGCCACAAGCTCCAAATTACTGAGCGCCAGCTCTGAGTAGGGGGGGGTGCACTCTGTGTCAGGTCCCGTTGATTGTGTCTTCTTGGGAGCTGCGCCAAGCCTCAACCTTTTTTGCGGGAGCCCGTGGCCATTGCGGTTTCCTTCCGGATTCCGGATCCCGAACTTTGCCAAGGATTCGTGAGGCCAAGTGAGCTACTTTGGGAGTCAAACTTCCATGAAGGAGCCAGCCCCTGCTTGCCCAGTGACCGCGCCCCAGCGATGTGTCTCGTTACGCCAATTTCTCCACTTGCAGCTTTTTCTGCAGCATGGATGGTTCTCAATTTTTCCACTGCAGCTTTGTCTGCAGCGTTGTGGTCGCGGAGGTGCCCAACAACCACTTCCGCCAGCTTATCTACAGCCAGTTGGAGGCCTTAAGCCAGGCAGAGCTCCTGAATTTGAACAGGCGCCCAGACGAGCCGTAAGCATGTTGCCAGCTCTTTTTTTTTTTTTTTTTTTTTTTTTCTCGAAAAAGGCGGTGGTTGTTGTGTTGTGGTTTAGTTTGTGTTTCTTGGTTTGTTTATTTGTTTGTTTCGCTAGTTTGTTTGTTTCTTTGGTTGTGTGTTTCTTTGTTTGTTGGTTCTCTGTTCGTTTGATTTGTGTTTGTTGTTTTGTTTGTTTGTTTGTTTGTCGTGTCGTGTCGTGTCGTGTCGTGTCGTGTCGTGTCGTGTCGTGTGTGGTTGTTGGTTGGTTAGTTGGTTAGTTAGTTTGTTTTTGTTTCTTTCTTTCTTTCTTTCTTTCTTTGTTTGTTTGCTTGCTTGCTTGCTTGCTTGCTTGTTTGTTTCGTCGGTCAAGAAACTGCACGCCACGATTCAAGCTATTAGATTATTGCACGTGCATGAAAGCGCATTCTTGTCACACCGTTCTGTGGGCGTGTTCCTCAAGTCTAGCAATGATGGAACAAGTTGTGTTTCCCAGTAATCTCCGAATGCGGATGCAGCATGACCCTTCTTGCGTTACTTCCCTACAAGCAACTACAGGGTAGGCAGATTGTTCATATGTTTTGAGACCCTTTTCGATTTGTGCTGTAGCATCCGTATGTATCAGCATGATTGGATGACCTTGCTGTAGGTCTCAGTAACTGTTCCACGGGATGCTCTGTTTGAGGTGCGGGTGTCTTGCAAAGAACATGGTTGGGTGTTTGCGTTTCAGTTGCATGGCTCACTGAGGCGAATGTTGGGCATGAATGTTTGCTTCCTTACAATACAGTTGTTCCCAGGTAACATGTGATTCTGCAAATGCGACAACGTGGGCAATGACTCTTTTTTTCCCTTTGGGCTTCGATTGTTTCAGCCGAATTGGCACAAGCAGCGGCATTTAAACAACAAAAGAAAAGGATGCTGTCCTGCGGTCGGATTCGTTAAAGCCCTGGTCTTTGGATTCTCACTTTTGGGTCAAACCGCCACTGATTACTAGTGTTGCTTGCTAATCCGGGAAGATGGCCTCTTTAAAGGTGGAAACCTGTGTGTCCATTTGAGATTCAGGGACGGTACGGTCCTCGTCCATGACGATCATGACGCGTTTTTTTCGGAGAGCAGGTCGAGGACAGAGCTCCACAATATTCCGACCTCCAACCTCATCATCTCAGCCATGGGGAGCCTTTGGAATCCGTTGCCATGTGGTTGGTGTGGGTATCCGAATTTGCCGTTCAAGGGGAGCTACCAGAAAGAGCATAGTAGATTTGTACCTGCCCAAGCGTTTGAACCGGGAACCGGGAGCAGAAGGTGTCGCACCAGCCGCAATGTCAACTCCAGTGAAGAGAGACGATACATGCACATGTTTGCAAGGTGGCTATGGCTGAATCAAGTTATGTCGGGAAACGGCAGTGCCTGGCTTCAACCATGTCTCATTCGCGGTGTCCTGCCTGATGATTCGCATCAGGGAGGTTAACACATCCAAAGTTCACGATAGCCTGTCCCTAGCCATCTCATTCGCACAGCGGCCTGACAGACCTTTCCCCCCACGGCTTAGGAACAACTTCATTGAGAGGATGCTCTCCACAGATCCTGACAAGAGAACTTGTAGAGGATTCCCTCAAACATCCGCACACAAGTCTTGCCAAGAGATCCTCTCAACAGATCCTCCCCACAAATCCTGCAAAGATCCCTCCACAGTGACCATGTCCAAGACGTTCCACAGAAGCGGTGGGAGAAATTATCTCAGAGAAACATTGTGCAGAACTTCTTTCCTTTTGGGAGCCTTGAGAAGGAATTTGTGTGCAAGCAAGTCCTTCCATATCCTTCCATACAACGCGTCTTCATTTCAGGAAAATCTGTGCAGAAGCAATGTCCGCGCGACCTGACCCACCCAAAGTCCGCAGCAGGCCCACCGTCAACGTGGAAACCGTGGGAGAGGCCACAGCGACATCGATTCAACGCACCCAAAGTCCGCACCGCACCCAAGTCCGCAGAGGGTGCACCAATCCATCATTTCCGGAATGCGCGCGGCACCACAGTGAGAGCACACCGCCAATGGGCCAAAGACGGCCATGCACTCTGCGCAAACCCTCGAAGTCGAAACGCACATGGCTGACCTGTGTGGGAAACACTACCCCGAAATCCTCGTCGGGGGCCAGCGCGTGCGCGCCGCTCTGGCTGCCTGAGACTGCGAGACAAAACGGGCACCCTGATTAAGCACCCTCACGAGACTCCGAGGCCTTCAAGCTGAGCAAAGTGCATCTTTCTGTGAACCCAAAAAAATCCCATGCATGGGAATTGTTTCACACAGCAGGGTGACTTTCCATGGGTGTTTCAAGTTGAGCCTTTAAGCCATCCAGGCTCGGCACATTGCTCAGGAGCGCCATGTTTTGCGTTTGCCCTCCGGCCGAGAACTCTGCTGCGGGTAGCAAGCGGCTCTACGACGCGATCTTCGCAGGGTGCGTGCCAGCAGCAGGGCTTCAAACTCAGCTAGGCACGCTGCGCGTGTTTCTTAGTGGTGTCCCCTTTGGTGGTGACCCAAAAACTGTACATTGTTTTCAGCTGGTCGCTGGCCAAGTCAGTGAAACCAAGATGTATCAGTCAGCATCAGATGTGGATACTTGTGTGCGTTCTTAATATGCGTTTGCTAGCCTGAGGCCGGGGATTGACTCAGTGCACACTTCTTGGTAGCTGAGCCATCCAATCTATCAATGCTTTTCGTGCGAAATTGGACCCACGAGCCTTTCGACATTTAAGCAGGTGTGCGTAATTGCAGTTTTGGTTAGTGGCAGGCCGCTGCCAGTCCATTTATGCCCCAGCTGGGTCTGTCTCAAGCAATTTCAAGCATTTGATGGAGGGAATAGGGAACTCAAACAAAGATCAGCCGTTTGAAGGGCTCTTGGGGAGCATCCATGGCTCCCAGTTGGGTCGTGTGTGGGAGCGGCCAAAAAAGCACCCGACCCCTTCACGGCTCTATTTCAAGTTGAAGCATGTTAACCAGGGACCTGGAGCAAACGGCATGCAGATACCCAGCCACCAAGTTCTTTTTTAACTGTGGAATTCGTGACGCCTGTTTAAGCTTCCAAGGGCCGTTTTCTGGTTTCATCACGTCATCTGGTGTGTTTGGCGCACGGCAACACATGAACACAGCGGCTTAACCAAAAGTAAGCTTTAGAACCATTCTAGTTCTAGCAGGTTTCCTTTCTGCAAGGTTTCTAGAAAGCACCTAAGTGTAACTATATTCACCAAAAAACCAGCTCGGGCTTTAGGTGGTGATTTCCTTCCCCACGGCCTGGGGCAGTGGCATCAGCTGGTGGCGCACCGATGGCGCGCCTCTGGAGTTCGCCATGCCCTTCCCCTGGGAGCGCCTCGGCTGAGAACTCGCAGGACGCTGCAAGGGGCAGATGGCTACCTCGGGCGTGGCGCCAAAAAAAGGGATGTGTCCCAAAATGGGTTGACCTGGACAACTACGCGAAAGCCTGTGGCCCCACGGCTTTGTTGTTTTTTTATGAGCCACACGGACTTAGTATGAGGCCATGTTGAATAACTTATACAACCCATTTGCCATGGTGAGCCTTCCAAGTCGGTGCTATCCATGGTTACCTGCCACATACTGGGTACCCTGCCCTAGTAAGTGATTGCAAGGCCATTGCCACGCTGGTCTGTCTTACTTGGCTTGCGGAGGAATAAAGTTTGGCCATGGCTCGCCTTTAGCGCCTTTAGTTGGTGTGTGTTTTTGCGATGCGCGTGGCTTCTCCTGTGTCTTCTATCGTCTTTTGTGAGGATCGACTGGCGACGACTGGCCGTGGAGGTCTCGGAAGATGAGCTGCTGCGCGGGGAGCTAGGCGACTGTGCACACTCCAAACCCGGGTGGATGAAGGGTAGCAAGGGACATTGCCAGAAATAGGCGCAGATTTTTGTGCAGAATAATTCTTAGGGGTTGGTTTGGTAGGCCGGTTGAGCACCGGGGGTTGATTTTTGACTCGGGTGGGTACGGATATGACACGACACCCCAGACACTGAAGGCTGAGCAAACCGTTGCGAGGGCCCTTCTGAACAGACTGTGTCCTGCGTGTTGACAGGCAGGGCCCCCTTTCTTGACGCCTGCATCGCTGTTTGGGTTTCATTGGGTCGTTGGAATTTCTTTGTTTTCCGGGCCTGACCCAAAAAAGCGAGGTGTTGGTTTGAATAGCCGACGCCCATTTGTGTTCCAGACTGCTATGATGTTTTTTGGACTTTCGGCAGATGATTCATAGCTTGGAGTCTGGATGTCTGGGCCAAGCCTGGCCACCCAAGGCAAAATCGAGCAGTGAGGCTGTGTTTAGCGGCCTGTTGGACAGCAAAACGCTCCTATCCCGAACTTCATCCATTTGAGAGCGTGCTCCACCTGGCAGGTCAACCTCTTACCCAAGTTTGGTTTCTGTTGTTTGGTGGAAGGTCGAGTTGGCCAAGCCAACTGGAACTCGGCGGGGCTTGTCCTTTACTCCCAGAATATAACCCTCCTGGAAATTACCATAGGAGTGGTCGATACGGACCTACAAAAAACATGTTGGATTTGTTTGGGGGCTCCGTAGTTGCCCTATGCGCAGATTTGTTTGTGTTTTGTGGTCGCGCAGCCACAAAGACACCGCAACGTCTCGAAGGGTTTCCCCATAAGCCAAACACATCTGCAGGCTTCAGCTTCAGCTTCCGTCTCTCAGGGGCGCGGCTCGCCAACTTCCCAATGACCGAGTTCCTGGAGAAGCAGAGCTACCTCCTGAAGGCAGGGCGGATTGCGTTCTGAAATAATTGGTTGTTTGGTTGTTGCGATGTGTGAGTTGGACTATTTAGCGGTAGGGAATATCGTTGTTGTCCCAAGTTGGATTTGTGGTTGTCTCAATTGGTGACTTGGGCTTTTTATTGGTAGGGAGTTTCCTGCCGGTCGCTTTCAAGGTGCCCGCGGTGAATCCCTGCCAACCTTGGCAGGTTACCTTGGGTCCCTTCTGGCGCTAAGCAATGGTTGGAAGGGGGAGTAACCTGAAAGGAACATGTATGGGAGGTAGGGGGTGATCTCCGAATGCTGTGGGGTTCTTCGTTGCCCATTTTCCGGAAGCCTATTTTTAGAGGGACCAGGGACCAGTCAGCCCTTTTTTTTCGCGTTGTTTTTGTTGAATTCAACAGGTCACCTGTCACACGTGATGCCTTCGGACGGGCCTCGCCAGGTTCGACGGCTTCTGCTCTACGACATGTGCCTTGCCGCAGGTTCCCTGTGGCCCCGAAACCTAGGCAAGCCAATACGTGCCCAAAGGGGCGGGAGCATTTTGGCAGTGTGGCTTGTAGCCCAAAAGTTGAGTTTCCCATCAGGTTACATCACCCCTTTGAACGGCAGAACGTGGTGGTATTTGATGTTGCGTCATTGCTCAGCCACAGACTGTGAGATGAGAATAGAGGAGCCTTGGAGAGCGACGAATAAGCCTCCTTTTTTTTTTGGGGGGGGGGGTGGCTTCAAAAAGAGAAACCAAAAGGACACACACACACACACACACCATTTTTTGAGGGTTCCCCTCTAAGACACACCCATATGTAGCCCAAGCTTACGGTGGACGCTCCATTACTGTATGGGATTAGGAAGATTTCATACCCCTTCGATAAGGGGTGGGGGGGTTGTTGTTCCGGGGGGAGGGGTGTTGCACAACAAGTGGGGGGGGGGAGGTTCGAACAACAAGTGGGGGGAGTTGTTCCCTTGCCAACCAGTCAGCCTAGGAACTCCGCCACTGCATGATGGCTATATATATATATAGAATGTACGTCATGTATATGAGCCCAAAGCCAACTCGGGCCCTTTGGCGGCTGGGTCTGTTTTTTTGCAATGACGCTGTATCTGATGGCAAACCCATCGTTGCTACCAAGTGGGTTTGCAGCATGTGTCAAACTCCCCACATGTCAGCAATAGGAGCTTTTTGTGGGACCTTGGTGGCAAAAGGGTCACATGGGCTGTGGACAAGCAAATCAAAGCCGAGGCCTGGCCCAAGTGGGTTTGACTGGCACACACAAATTGGCATCGGGCCAATTCCGTTCAATGAGCAGTTGACAGGGTGTAAACTCCTACTTAAAGGGGCAGGGCACCTAGTATGTGTTGTATGAATAACCCACTTGCCATGGTTCCAAGTCTAAGTGGGTTAAACTACCAGGAGAGAGAACCACTTGAGTAGCCGATCGCCCCTTTAGGTCTGTGAGGCTGGGGTTTTTTGGAGTCCGGGAATAGGAACGGCGGCCAGCGGGACGCCTTCAGCGTGCTCATGGAGGCCCCGCACGGCCTGCGGATGGTGGCAAAATCCGCTTTGCAACCATGGCTCTTCCCCAGAATGAGTTTCCCTTTTTGATGTTTTTGCTTTTTTTTTTGGGTCCGCTTTGTTTTCCACTAACCAGGCCAAAATAGACATTAAAAAAAATGCTGGGGTCCTAGTTCCAGTCAAGGGTTGAAACCGGAACGATTGGGATACGTTTGGGGAATCCAATCATAGGGTTCCGAAGGTGCAGGATCACTCGTCAAGCTTCCCTTATTCAGATGCGGTATTGAATCCTTTGATGTCTTCTGTATATGCCAGAAAGCGATGTTATTGAAACACCAGCTTTCAAGAAAGGTCAATCATGCGTGCAGCATCCTAGAACCCACTTGTTACCTACTTAGTGATACCCATTCGGCATCATTCGGCAGTTAAACCCTAGAATGATTGGATTCCCCAACGTAAAATCCCAACAAACGTTCTGGTTTAATTATGTGTTCATTTCGTGCGAACAAATTTTGTAGCCATTCACAGTATGTGTTAATCTTTTGTGGGAAGTGAGTGGGGAGTTGTCAGCCGTGGGTTGCTCGCCGCGATTGGTCGCGTATTTGTTTGCTCCTTCTTGGTCCTCTTTGTTGCCCCGGGGGGGGGGGTGGGAAGCAGGGTGGGTGGGTGGGTGGATGCTTCAATGTTACGCCAAGAAAATCGGAGCAATTTGGGTGATGTTCAGTCGCGATTGCGGACAAGGTAGGCCTTTTGGTGGCAAACTTTGAGTGGGTTCACTCTGGGTGAGGCCATGCATTCCTAGCATCAGCCTGGAAGAAGACACGGGCCGATTAGTCGGACCACATTGGCCAGGGCATCCGAAATGCCCTGCCGAGCCTCTACAGCATGGGAGGCCAACCGATAATCTGCATCTTGGCAGATCAGAGAATGTCTGTAGGTGGGAAACCTGGGTTAGCTAGGCAACTAGGCGCTGCTGCGTCCTAGGTCACAGGAAAGCTGGCACTTTTGGTGGCAGCACCCCTCATAAATCCGCCAGGTTTATTGCCCCCGTATTATAGATTGATAAACACCACCTTTTCGCCATTCACAGAGTCTGTGTTGAGTGGTTTGAGGAGTGGGCAATGACAAGCCGTCGCCTGTGGGTCATCGCTTTGCATTAACTTTCTTTGGGCAGGGCTATTTTTGCAAAACGCCCGGAAAGTCTGCAGGTGGGGGGTTGGCCATTCCCAGCTGCTTCTGGCTGGGCAAAGGATGCCGCCCGTGCTCCCCTGGTTTGTGGCTTCCACTGGTGAGCACCTTCGTGTGCCATTTCCGGCATCCCTGCCTTCCAACTTCCGCTTTGATTTCAGTTCACGGGAGCCTTGGGTCCAAGAGCTGAAACATAGGCAAACCCGCTTTGCATTCCCCGGCCTCCCCAGCTTTGGCAGAGTTGACGCATTTCAAGGTGTTGAACTTGATTCGGAGCTGACAAGGGTTGCGGGGCCCCTTCCATGTTACACTCTATGAACATAGGTGTAGCCGGCTCGGGTGTTCCGGTCCGGTCCGGCTCGTCGCTCAGGCGAGACCATCCCATTGAGCCACGGATGGCTAGGTCGTCAGCTCGACAAGAAGTGGCCTCCTGGCATTTCGCTTTGTAGCCCAGCTGTTCGGTGTCACGCTCTTTCCCTGCCTTTTTTCTAGCTTCACCGGGCAAGAAGTAAGTTACTTGCCAATTTTCGCAGGTTCGTCCCGCAACTATCAAACAAAGCAAGTGGCTCCAATTTGCTTACAAACTAACACCCGTTGACTTTCTTCTTCACGTGGACCAGCTCAGTTGGAGAAACGCCCGACCTCCAGTGACCATGTTTGCCTTTTGTTCGACGGGGATGTTCCTTTTAAACGAACTGATGTACGGGGTCTCTGCGCAAACTATCATATAAGCTCTGGGGCGGTTTGTTTCAGGGAAGCTTCCGGAGATTGGGTTCCAGCAACCCCGTTGGGCTGTTGGGGATACCCTTCCACCCATTAACATGGCACTCAGTCATGACCATGCCATAAGGACAACGATCCAGGACCCAAACGTCAAACGGTACGTGAAAGAAGAAAACAAGTGGCAGGGCAGCTGGGTACAGACTTGTTTGGGATCCAGCGGGCCCTTTTCGGCGCAAAGCGGCGGAGCTCAGGTCCAGCAGCTTTGGGGAGCTCGCCTGCTCCGCCCAAAGCTTTTGGCGCCGCTCTTCTGCCTTTTGGACCTCGGCCCAGGCAAACACGAAGGCTCGTAACCAGACACTTTGACTGGTTGCTTGGTGTGTTGGCTTGTTGGGTTAGTAGTTAGCTAGTTCGTTAGTTTGCTTGCTTAGTTGCTTGCTTAGTTGCTTGCTTGCTTGCTCGCTCGCTTGCTTGCTTGCTTACCTGCGTGCATGCGTGCTTGCTTGCTTGGTGGCTTGGTTGGTTGCTTGCTTGCTTGCTTGCGTGCTTTATTGCTTGCTGGCTTGGTTGGCTGCTGCTTGCTTTGCTTGCTTGCTTAGTTGCTTGCTTAGTTGCTTGCTTAGTTGCTTGCTTAGTTGCTTGCTTGCTTGCTCGCTCGCTTGCTTGCTTGCTGCTTGCTTGCTTACCTGCGTGCATGCGTGCTTGCTTGCTTGGTGGCTTGGTTGGTTGCTTGCTTGCTTGCTTGCTTGCGTGCTTTGTTGCTTGCTGGCTTGGTTGGCTGCTGCTTGCTTTGCTTGCTTGCTTAGTTGCTTGCTTAGTTGCTTGCTTAGTTGCTTGCTTAGTTGCTTGCTTGCTCGCTCGCTTGCTTGCTTGCTTGCTGCTTGCTTGCTTACCTGCCTGCATGCGTGCTTGCTTGCTTGGTGGCTTGGTTGGTTGCTTGCTTGCTTGCTTGCGTGCTTTGTTGCTTGCTGGCTTGGTTGGCTGCTGCTTGCTTTGCTTGCTTGCTTAGTTGCTTGCTTAGTTGCTTGCTTAGTTGCTTGCTTAGTTGCTTGCTTGCTTGCTTGCTTGCTTGCCTGCGTGCATGCGTGCTTGCTTGCTTGGTGGCTTGGTTGGTTGCTTGCTTGCTTGCTTGCTGCTTTGTTGCTTGCTGGCTTGGTTGGCTGCTGCTTGCTTTGCTTGCTTGCTTAGTTGCTTGCTTAGTTGCTTGCTTGCTTGCTTGCTCGCTTGCTTGCTTGCTTGCTCGCTTGCTTGCTTGCTTGCTTGCTTGCTTACCTGCGTGCGTGCGTGCTTGCTTGCTTGCTTGGTGGCTTGGTTGGTTGCTTGCTTGCTTGCTTGCGTGCTTTGTTGTTTGCTGGCTTGGTTGGCTGCTGCTTGCTTTGCTTGGTTGCTTAGTTGCTTGCTTAGTTGCTTGCTTGCTTGCTCGCTTGCTTGCTTGCTCGCTTGCTCGCTTGCTTGCTTGCTTGCTTGCTTACCTGCGTGCGTGCGTGCTTGCTTGCTTGCTTGGTGGCTTGGTTGCTTGATTGCTTGCTTGCTTGCTTGCTTGCTTGCGTGCTTTTTTGCTTGCTGGCTTGGTTGGCTGCTGCTTGCATTGCTTGGTTGCTTAGTTGCTTG